TATCTAGATATTTACGCGAAATACCTATGTGAAAGGCGATCCACTAAATGGGGCAGTTTTTTTTTTATCTTACAACTTTTTTTTTTTTTTTTTTTACTGATTACACCTCTGCGATGCAGTAGTTGCCCCTTTCGAATCAATAGACCATGTCTACCTAATCGGACGGGACAGGATTTTTCGATGACTAATAAAAAAGAGTCAATGCTATTTTGTCTACGAGACATCGAACGTAGTTTCAAATTGGACCTTGGAGTGTCGCTGAAAAAGCGCAAGGAAATCAGGAGCGGCAGTATAAATAACATTGAGAATATTACTATCGCGCTGAATGTCGTAGTGGCTCACATTAGAGCTTTATCCTGCTGTAAGAGTAAGCGTACGTTCGATAAGCATCGTACTGTGAGCCATGACATCGAGGACCAAGGTTCAATTTCCGCGGCCGACATAGCATACCAAAGGCAACTTCTTGATAGCCTTCCAACAAACTGAGGACGTCAGTTATTTTGGTATTCCGTGTCGAACGGTTTGCCCTTAATTAATCTCGAGACAGGTTGGAAGAAAAGGTTTTTATTTGTCCACCTTCTACTAAACTTTATACAGGACGCATAGTCTATTATTGAACTCAGGTTAGTCAAAAGGATTTAAGTGATGCGATCTTTTTATGTCCAGCGGTCTCTCAATCCTCAATCAACTTTTACTATTCGTCGTCTCGTAGGATTGTTGTCTTTGTTTCTAGAACTAGATTTAGAACAATTTATAGCGCTAAAGCTAACGTAATCGTAGCTGCTGTACAGTGCACAAATACATAAAGATAAATGTCTATATATATAAATAAAAATTGTGAGTATAGCAAGCCTTCGTGAATCGACATGAAGATCGTCATCTCCAGCATTACATCATAGCTGATCACATTTAACTTCCACCAGCTGTCGGTCGTTACATTCAGAGCGTTCGAGACAAGACGCGCGGAATGCTCTGTCTCAGGTAAAGCCTGTTTCCGTTGGCTTTCCGTATTCTATTAAATTTTTCTCATTTAAATAGTAAAAAAAGCAGACGTACCAGAGGGCTTGGAACACGGATTATTTTTCATAGTGCTTCGAAAACTGCACAAATACAAGGTGATATAGAAAAGACAAGTCTTGGAACAATCCCCGCTAGAAAACGACGCGACATAATTGCTAGAGACAGTGATAGCCGAACATTTACTATCAGTTACTTCAAATACGAGCAGCATCAATGGAACGAAGCACCTAAATAAGGTGACAAAAATATTCCCCTAGAAACTCGATCAGTTCGAGATATCGTATTATGCTTAAATGTATTTGAAATTAAAGTTAGATCTTTTTAAAGGAATTCGTGAAATAAAGGATAACATGTCAATGCCTTACTCAAATTTATATATTGTTATCTATATAATATATTTTACCAGTTTGTCCTCAGGGACTGTGCGAACTACACGAACCCGATTGGAACTAGCCCAGAAACAAACGAACGAACGAACAAACAAACAAACAAACAACTTGATGAGAATAACATAACTCCGCGATGGCAAATTACGCCTCAATAGCGACTCTGCGACAAAGCCTACGCTTCCACAATAGTCCGATTTGAAAGGAATGGGCCAATTAAATCATCATATTTCTCGTATAAATCATCATATATCTGCGTTTCGGCAAAAAACATCGTTTTTATTACTAACAAAAACAAATCCTTCATCATCCTCGGGGATGACCTCTGTGTGTTTGTTCTATTCGACTGAAAATTGTCAGAAAGTAAGCAACAATCACATCGATATTGACTGGGACATTCTACCAAACGATGAAAACAGCTGTGGCAACGGCGTAAAAAAGCGATAACGACGAGCTTTCTTTCTCTTCTTCGAAAAATTCGAGTGTTCTAGATAGAGTATCTGTTCATTTGGCGGTGCGTGAAATGTTTCTCTATTTTTGCTATCAGCCGAACATTGAAACTGATCCAGATAACACTACGGATTGTTTGTTGTGTTTCTTTTCAGAGAAGGAAAATGGCCCAAGTTCGTTCTGGCTTCACAGGTGCTCCCGTAGCGGCCCGATAAGCCCGAAAGTCTAGAATGTTCGCAGTGAGAACCTACCTGAGGCTTAATCATTAGTACAAAGGAATATTCTTTCTCATACTGTTCAAGTGTTGCTCTTGCAAACTGCAACCCCTTAATATTATCTATGTTTTAAGTCATTAGGTATGGTTACAAACGACTAGTTCCTACCAACGCAGGACGAACCGTATAGATACGCCCGGATTCAAACCTGGGCCGGGTTTAGCACACAAACAGATTACGCACTGCGCTGCTACGGGGCCGCAGTGCAATTCCATCCGAACTTCACTGGCAAATCTAGTTTGGTAAGATGCCGTAGTTTGCTAGAAGACTTCAGGCAGACACACTGTAGTGTAGATGTGAGCGTTACTTTGAAGTATTAGAATGAGAACATGTGACACTGATAAGCGTTGCCCCTTAAAGGCTGGGTAGTCGCCACGTTACTCTATCAGGCCGAGTTCGAACTGAAATGCTGGCAAAGTATCTTTGAAGAAGCATCGCCCGTACATCTTGTAATTCGAGGGCTTCCCGTAGGCAAAGCGGAACAGCTAACCATCTTTTGTACCAATGAACAGAAGTGATTAAAATGAAACGAATTTTATATGTTCGTAAGTGGATTTACACAACATTTAGTAACTTTGTAAGTTATTAACGGTAAATGCTCTCGAGATGCGTAAAACGACCATTTCTGAAAATGTAAGTAGGGTAGAACTGCTCTAGGCACCCTTGATTATTTCGATTGAATAATGCGCTAGAACAGACTGTCATATCATAGAAGCGCGGCGCTAAAAGTACTTTATTTATCTAGAAAAAGGTCTTTACTACCAGCTCCTTACAAAATGAAGACGCATCAACTACTTATGCTCTGTATTCTGGTTGCAGACTGAGACTTTTGATAAGGTCAAGCCGGGCACTCTATAGTCATCTATATTTCTGAAATTTTCATAATCTTTGTAAAAAAAATTCGCTTGCTCAAAGTTCTTTAAGTTACATTGTCATTGCTCACATCGAATATCCTAACAGGCCAATACGCGATTACATTTAATACATTCGGGCTCTAGAATAGACCTGGATGCTTGTAACCCTAGAATAATTCCATCTGTTAATGCCCATGTTGATTTGCAAGGGTTATTTAAAGCAAGAACTTCTCCGCATATCTCGAAGTGCCTTTTTGGCAGCGAATCCGTGATACGACAGTAAAAGTAGCACCGATTTGTACAAAACACTATAATATAGTTGTCTAGCGTGTTTTGTGAAACGTGGCCCCAAGTATGCCACGTAAAAATATTCGTTTTTTGTAGTTTGTTCTGTACAATGCTTTTCTCGCGCATTTCCGAAAGTGCAAAACTCGTCGAGGCCAAAAGTCACTTGTTAAGGATCGCATTTGAGCACGTGTTGGGATAATGAAGCGTTAAGACCACTAAAATAGGATGATAAATTCTCAGAGAGATTATTCAGGTCAGAGGGCGACATCCTGAGCAGGCTCGACAGGACGGAGGAAATCACAAGCCAAGAAAGGAAAATTTCAACGAACTGCAGAAATAAAGTGAAGAGAGAAGGTGAAGAACGAGATGAATCTTCACATATCGTCAATAATTTTTAGTAGTACAATTATAATAAACGTATTATATAGAGGATAAAGACCCCAGTTGAACTGTCTATGAAGCGAATGTTTACATCAAATCACGGGGGGTACAATTAAGTGTTTCTCAAATAGCTGTCATTAATTGCATAAAGCATAATATAGAATTTTCTACAAAGCCACGGAGATTGCTCGTAAAGGTAACACAGCCGTTCAATGCTGCGAGCGCCTAAGTTCTGATTTACGCAGATCGCCGAGAAACGATCCCGGTGAGGTCTGAGCACATGGTTGCAAATCAAAGAGCACATGGTACTAATGGATTTTCTGAGTGTACATCCGATAGAAATGTTCAAGTTGTAAATAAAGGATTTTGCAATGGCGTTGCATATAGCCTATTTGCATCGAAGCTGGCCCACGTGTGTGCGTACGACCCGAATTCAAGCCTTATATTCTAGGTTGGCTAAATAATTATTTATATAGTTTATTTAATATTCGTTTGAACGAAACAGAACCCGGCCCAAGCCTCTCGTACGACTTGTCGATAATTCATTTTACGATAACTTAGCGGTACTACCGCTAGCCACAACCGTTGTCTTGTTTTTCTATCGGCGAGAACTTTGCCAACAATTGATAATCGACCATGACAATAACAAAAGATCAAACAGTAAATTGATATTTGTTATTACAAAAGCTCGTCACAAAATTATTATCACATTCGTAAGTCTTCTTAACTGCGAGACCGGCCGCATACGTTTCTCGGGTGTTGATTTAGCTGCCGCAAATCACGTGCATCTGCACGTAAATCACGCTGCCCTGAAGCGGTGAACGTGATTTCGTAAACAAGAGCGCTGATGTTTATACGTTTACGTATCATTTTAGCAAAGTTTTTTCTGACTAACCGTCTTAACGATGCAATCGATTTGCATTGCTACATCTCGAGCTAAGTTTGTCTAAATTTGATTCTTACGCTAAGTTCAGGTCCTACCAAGTGTCAAATCAAAATAACGGATAGTAGCCGAAGCGGTACCTAGAATTTTTGTTACGGACACAAAATCGTATTTTTACTCATTAGCCAAAAACCAGCTGGCCGCAATTGTTTTGTGCTAGGGTCTCATTGCGTACAACTATCGGTTATGAGCCTTAGATGCGCAAAACTTTTGCGCGTATGAACTGCGGTAGTACTTGAAACTAGTTCTACCTTTTAACAAGAAAAAACATCTCTAGGATGCAGAAGAAGTATTAGTACATGATTTTCAAGATGAAGATGGGAAACGATATGGATACGCCTCATCGACTGTTCAGTCCTCTGAGAAAATTTCATCAGTGAAACATCAACGAGTCATTTACATATCGACTGAAATCTTGAATTTTATTATTTTTGAGTTAAGTTAAAGTTGTCGGATTATGAGATTATAACACGCATTAGGTTAAGTTAACAAACAGAATTAAAATTTTGCCGAAGTGTTCTTTACGTAAATGATCAGTGTATTTGAAATTAGTATTTTACGTTTAATATTCAGGCGGCACCATTTCGATATGCTAACAATAACCATTTGCCAACATTGAAGTTAAAACTGTTTATGGCTACATGTTCATGACGCCATAGCAACGTACTGCAACTAATACATCATAAAAATCAACGTACAATGTTCCCGACTCATGGCCGCGAGAAAATGGATACCGCGTATCAGAGAAGCCGTTTTTTTTTTTTTATCATCAATTACAGAAATTTGTTTTTCAGAAAAAGGCCTGCATAGTTGATTTTTGATGGTATATTCGATGGTTCTGCAGTTCATCATTCTTAAGTACATAAGAGTAAATATCTACACGAAACGACTTACATAATGATACCCAGAAATCAAATGTGTACTGCAATTAACTTCTAAATTGAATTGATTAATGTCCACTACTATTGGAGTTCAACATTCAAACAAAAGTAGACTTTTTTTTTTATTTTATGTTTCTTTTTTATCGTAAATTGTGTGAGAAGTTTAATGTCGCTAAGTTCCTTTAGATATACAGCAATAACACTATTCTTTTTCAGTCGCTAAACTTCACTCTTCAAAAAACCGCTAATTGCTTGGCGATATCTGCAAAGGAATCGATAAGAACTAATTACGACACGGGTTGAACGATAGTTTTCCCATATGTCAGTCAAGTGGATCAGACCGGATGTAAATGGGTTTTGTAGCTACTAGCACTCCGGGGAACTGGCAAGCGCGATCAAGTTAAGAATCAAGGAATACTTGGTTTAACTTAAGCCAAATCGATCAATAAAATCAAGGAGTACTACGGTGATTCGGTGAATTGAAACTGAAATGCTTTTCTTTTTTTATCCGTTTTTTAAACCAAAGAACGCCATCGACACTTCTTTTGTGATAGGCCCGTCATTCAATCGAAACCCTCAATGGTTCGAAGCTATCGTATAGTTGTCAGCTCGTCTGTCGCTACCGAATTCTGTAATTCTTTTAGGAGAAACATAGTGCTTCTAGTAGCAGAAAAAGAGTTACAATAGGACTACCGTTTTCGCCTCCTATTAGTTAAAATTACTAACCGGGTCCAGAAAATTCTGCTGATTTTTGCCTTTAGATACTGAGACAAAAGGCAGCAGGAACTACTTCTCTAACCTAGTACATATAGGGAAGAGGTAGCTATCATGCAATAACAGAATGTTTGAAAAACTTAATTACCAATGATGGCAATACGATGGACCGAAGCTAATCCGACAACTGTGCGATCCTCCATGCGGAAGCCATTCGTCAGCAAGTCGCTGTACGAGCTTGGCGTGATGTCCTCGTTTTAAAGCAACGACATACTGGTTTACTATCTCAGTTGTCGCGGTTAGGACCGGAAGGCTCTCAGATAGGTCAGCGAGCTGCTTTTCGAGTTGGTTTAAACTATCTCCATGCATGCATGCATACATGCATGGCAGAATAATGACTTTAGCAAAGCTGCGCACGCTGATTACTCGGTCCTACTATAACGCCTCTAAAAATATAATGAAGTTTTTTAGGTTTACCTATTATATGTTTGTAGAGGTCTAAAAAAGGGAAGCTGTTTTAAACTATAGAGAAAAAAAGATTACGTTGTGAGAGGCAAACTATTAAAATATTTTGCCGTCTATATAGAAAAAGTTTTTTTTTGCAAATTCGTTTTTAGTACGCCTCACTGAGGGCGTTTACGAAAGCTAACCAGTATTGCATTTCGAGATGTAAGTTTCTAGTGGATATATCATACCATTTTAGAGAAAGAAAATCAAGTACACAATAGATGGTTAAAATATTAGTTAACGAGTCGTACGGGCCGTATACACTATTATCTCATCTATGCATCCGCTCAGGCGGACCTGGCACGATGAGGTCCTAAAATTTTGGGTTACCACTGATCGAGTTTCCGTCTGTCTGTAGGTGCACGACATCTCTTGAGCTACAATATTTAGCAAAGTAACTGTTTTATCTATCATTACAGCGCACGTTTTCGTCTCATGGTACTGTTATTGTCGTCATTGGTTGTTGTTGTTGGAACCATTCAATTTTTTTGTGGAGTGTTCTTGCTTGGCGACATACATCTCCGCCGCAACGTATTCCCACTACGCGTAGTTTGCCTCGACGTATTCTTGTTCTTCGTGTGTTCACACCGTCTCTTCCACTATATTGTATCCCTGTGTAGAAACGTGCTGGTGATCGGTGCAGCCCTCATCTGCGCTGTATCCTCACTCTGCGCATGTCGTACTCCCATAGGTTTCTTCGGCATATGTGGCTTTTGCAGGCGATTTTTCATCATAAACAGCTTCGACAGAAGTCCCTTCTTTATCAACTACTTCCAGAACTGGTTCTTTGTCCTAAACAATTTCCGCAAGTGCCTCTTTTGCGTACATTAACTCGGAAGGTGCTTCTACGGCATAGAATTCCTCCGCACATGTCTGTTCTTCTGTATAAACAGTTTCGCCAGGCTCGAATTTGCCTTTAACAAAAATTTGTTCAGCACAAGTTCGCGTAACATTAGTGACCTTGCAAGGTGTCCCTTCCTGGCACGCGCCTTCAACCTACATCTTATCAATATAAACATTCTCTAAGGACTTGTTCCGTCCTAGATAGGCACCATTCTGTTCTATCTCCTGAGCATGTTTTTCCGTTTTTTGCATATGTAGAATCCATTATGTATTCCTGCTTTGCTAAGAAAGATTGGGCACTGACCGTTTGTTCGAATATCTATGCTGTCTGAGTTGTGTTATATTCATTAGTTGTGCTAAATAACCCCGGTGAAAGATCCGAATCTGGATGACCGTTTACGCAAGTTTTGGGGTGTCGGAAACGAGTCGAGTGACGGTTACCTTCCACAACAGAGCATTCGTGATAAAAAAAATAGCGAACAGTTATCCGATTCAGACGAAACGAGCGCGAACAAAAAAGCAATTCAAGAACACCTACATATCATGCATTTGTATTTTTACGCCGTTCAAATAATTCCATTTTCAATCATGAGCCAGCATGTGTTATCCCAGATTAATAACGTGATCTATATAGCAAACGGCCTATGTTTTTTCACAGGATTCACTATCACCTTTATAAATTGCACTGGCTCTCCGGCAGCATAAGAAATACGAGATTTCCTGTAATAGACAATGGCGATTACCTGTATTAGTGGCCCTTTCAGTGACTAACAGGTTACGTAACGCAGAGCTGATTTCGTTCTCACCGGTGTACATTATTTTTCCAATAATTTCCACATCCAACCTGGACAAGATGCTTGCATTCTCGCCGTCCCGTCCCTACAGATTAAACAAAAGAGTCCATTATTTGTCTACAACGAAACACCAAATGAGCATATTAACTTAGTGCAAATATCAACGACGGACTAAAATAAACACATACTGATAGCTCTCCATAATGGTGCAGTTGTAACAAATTAGACATAAGGACATGTAAGGTCATATGCTGGCTTAAACACACGATTCACCTTATGCTGGAAGTAGTCAGCTGGCTAAAGCAGCTCCTAACAAGAATACAGGACGCAAAAATGGAAACATTTATCTAAGCACATACAACAATTTTTACCTACATGAGATCATAAGATGAAAATGCTAACTAAAATACAGTTCATTGAAGTCGCTTATTTGACAAATAGTCCAAGGACTTCCTACGCTTGCAGTCCGCTTTATTTTGTAACGGTTTGAGCCCCTGAAGAGAACCGACCTTCCTCCCAAACAGGCAGTTCCGCCTGCGACGTGATGGCGACCAATTTCGAAGATGTGGGTAGCGGCCGCCATGAGGCCATGTTGACCACTTGTAGTTACGTCGTGAGCTGTTACTAAGAGTTAAAAGAAGTTTAGGAAATAACTTAGCTGCAGCTACGTATATAATACGGGTCTTCATCGTTGTAAATACGTTCTAGCTATTTCGACATCGGTCCTGTAACGGTGCCTGGTAGCGTATTTGCTTGTTGCACTCAGAGACACCTGGTCCAGGTTCGAAACTGGGCATAAACAGACACAGTTCGTGTTGTGCTGGAAGGATCCGAAAATTGTGGACCTCAAAAGACATGATTGTATACTTCGTTAGAAAAGGAGAGACAAACAAAAAGATCTTTAACAACTCGTTTTTTTAACAAGACAAGCAACCAGATCAATTCATTGATGGAACCGACCAAGAAAAAGATGGATGACACGTTTCTTCCGCATACAGTCAAAGTGGCCCTTCGCAACAACCCTGAACATCATTCAGTCACAGCAAAATTTAGGACGCCATCACACGTTTGAATTATCCAACGGAAGAGCTATCTTGCGATACTGTCCACGGCTATAAACGAAAGTCCCTGGCTTTCTACTTGAAAAATAATATCAGGCGCATTCTTGTTGTGTATGATATACACGTGTACTTCCAAAGCATTTTGTCGAAGATCACCCATTTCATTAACGACAGTTGCTCTATTGACGATTGGCACAGTCGTTATCTACTTCTTGCCCGGTCCGCGTTCGAGGGCGCTTGTCGGGGCCAAATACGCCGTCTTGTTCATGGGTATATCGAACCTGACACGAATCGCCTGGAGCTTTTTGGTAGCGTGGTCATCCGTAGTTGGTCGGCATTCGAGTGGATCAATGTGCCACAACCAACATACGAAAGCTGGGTCTCCTGGCCGTCATTTGACAGCCATTGAACGCTACATTTGCGCACGTTAACGAAAGACAAACGAAGAGACAACACTGTTAGCAAATGCATGTTTATATATATATATTGCACATGTATCAATAACCAGGTTTGGCATAAACTTTGGTAAATAAAAGCAGAAATTTTTTTTGGACTTCACAATTAAACCGAGAGACAACATTCTATGGTAATTATTATATGTGATCTTCTCCTATTATGTATAACGTAGTGGAGGGCGTTACAAGTACATACAGAAGCAAACGGAACGGCCAGCCTTCGAACTTTCAATTTCGTCTAATCGTCGAAGTCGTAAAATAAAGCAAGTACAAGTTACCGGGCTCAAGTAACGGCTCTTCGTCATTTCCGTCAGACTCACTTTGAGGCCGCTGCAAAATCGGTGGAGAAAAATCGTCCGCTGTAAGAAGTTCGTCTTAGATAATGTAGGAGATATCACCTTCGATATGGAGGACGTGGCAGCTCTCGACCCGAGGTACCACCCGAGGGCAATGGTACCGATAGCAACATTGAGCACAATTGTCAGAACTGTTGAGTTTTTTTCCTTGGGTAACGCCATGACGAACACGTCTACGAATTGTGTTTGTAGATAGAAGAAAAACGTTACACGAAACACAGCATTTACGAGAGATAAATATAATTACCTTATTACAGACGGCTACCATTGATGCTACCCGCTGCTAAAGGTCCTGTAGCAGGTGACACAGTTAAGGTCGGTGCTGGAAATTTAAAGTCCTACTAGATCCCCGTTATATATCCTCAATTGAACGAAGTTATCTTCATCAGAGAAAAGAATATGCCTACAGACGCAGACCAAGTCACCTTCAACAACTTCAAACAGCCTTCCATAGCAGTTCTATTACACTAACGGTCGTTGGATTTCTCGCAGATTTCGAAATGTTATAGTTTCCGAAAAACAAATCATCATTTATGTGTGGCCGCTGCTGCGGCACGCAGAGGTACGGGCATCATCGACCTGTTCTTAAATGCGGAGATGTCCTGTGGGGCATCCGTCGACGTCAAAATTAATGACGTTCGATGTGCGATATGGATAATATATATATGCTCGTAATGTTTGCTGCAACAAGAAGTTGCACTTGCGAAAATGGCGGTAATTCAAAGAGCCTTTTTTAAATCGGCGGCCCTGACATAACAACTGCATCCGGTTTATATTCGAATACAGATTATCATACGCCAGTACACTTACAGAAGCTCGTAATTCGCAGATTTTCAATGTGGCTGCTTAATTAAACGGTACCGCAATATATAGTTAGTAAGTCAGAAAATATAGAAAAATAAAGTATAAATTCTCATCCAGTGCATTTTATTTGCGCTGAGTCTGGCAAAAAATTCTCATGCTTTACACGGTGCACGTGGCGTGCACACTAGGGTAACAACTTCGTGCTGATGACTGATTTCCCCGTTGTACGTTACTGATGAGATTGAATCCTTAACGGGTGCCGCAAACATCAGAGGCGAAAGCGATGCCGTGTCATCAGTTAGGCAAGATGCTATTAAGCGAACGCAGAACACAGTGGATCAGCTGTTGCTTGAAGATCTGGGTAAAAAAAGTCGACTAATGAAAACAGACAGATTTTTTTTTATATAGAAAGCTTCTATAACAGGCTCTTTTAGTAATAAGTCGATTCTGCTGTACGTCACAAAAGATACTTCCATGTAACGATGTAAAGCTATTCAGAAAATATAGAAAAACAAACAAACTATGCCCGAACGACAAATTTTATTTTCGCCGTTGCTGGAACAAAAATAACAGCAGAAAGCAAAGGACCGTAATAGTTTCAACCATATGATTAATTTACATATAAAAATATGTAAAGGTGTTCAGCAATACACTATGGAATAAACACTAAAGAACGGTTGTTACGGAACGTAGCGAAACTGTAAGGAGCCGTCAGTGTGGTACAGCCTACAATTAGGTCCATTTATAGCTGGTCCTGCATGCGCTCACGAATGACAAAGGGCCCCGCTGTCGTTCTGGTTCCGAAAACGTTAATTCGACGACGATGATGGAGGTCATG